TCAGATACTTTGTATTTATATTAGTTAAAAGCAGGATTTTGATTAAAAATCTTGTTTATCTCGCATCATCAAGTGGACCAAAGATTAGTATAATGAAATTTAGTGTCTTTTTGCTGGTTAAAAAAAAAAAGACGTTTTGGAAATTCTTGCAAAAATCAAATAATTGCCAAATTTTAATGAATTTTTTGGAGTTTATTTATAAATGAATGAAATTATTTTAGAATTTCTTTTTCTTTTTGTTTTTAAAGAAAATCTTGGTAAAAATATATATTTTTACATCTGTTACCCTCATTTACTTAATTGCATGAAATTTCAGGAAATTAAATTTCCCCCCTTTATATTTATATTATTTAAAATTAAAACTACAAAGAGAAATCATCAATTTGTTTTCGACCAACAGAAAACACAATTTACCAAACATCTGCTTTGAATCATAAAATAAAAAAGGCAATAAAACCCCATTAAGAAGATTTTAATTGTTTTTATCAATAAGATATATTAAAGACACTATAGCCTTAAGAAAAAGATTTTTTTTCAATAATAAATTTTTACAAGAACTATTTTCATTTTTTTTTAATTTAAAAAAATTTATTGAGTTTTAAATATTTTCAAATTCTGTATTAATTTCAGCAGTTTTGATATTAAGTGAAAACTATAATTACTAATCATAAATGGAAAGGCTTAATACAAATCATCAAACACCAATATTTTAAAAATAGTTTTGAATTTTTTTTTTTTTTTTTATTAGTGTAAAAATATGCTGATTTTTATAAATACGGGCAACCATACACAACATTATCAAAAAATGAGAGCGATGACTAAAGTAAATTTAAAGCCAAAATTTCTAAAATTCAATAAAACATTAGATTATGGAAAATATCTTCATAAATATTTAAGACTACTGAGGATTTAAAAATTAAATAAAAAAGCACTCATTTTCTTCAGTTATGTTTTACAGATATATCTGCATAGAACAACATTAGTTCTGTCATCACCTCGTCAAACACTACAACACAGATAATCAATTAAAAACACAGCTACTGTCGGGCTAAAAAATGCATTTCTGCAATATTTTAAACCTAAATATTTTTTTTCAAACCAGATTAATTATACGTTAAATCAGCAAATATTCCTCAAATAAACTTTCAGAAAAGTATATTTTATTTTTAGAACATTTTTTAATAAAGAGAATTACACTGCCATGAAAGATGACTAAAAAAAAAAAAAAGGGCACTCATCTGCTATTTTAGCAGCACAAAAATATATCTTTCCAGTCAATTTAAATTAGTTTTTGAAATACAGCAAAGTATTTAGCTTAATGAAAATATTAAATTTAATCCATTAGGTTGAAATTAAAAGTAAAATAAAAACTTCAAGGAAGACTTTTCATATTTATAAATTCATTGTAAACCTTATGTATCACATTTTTTGTGGACATACCTAATTAATAGTAAATAAATAAAAAGTTCAGATTTGTTTTCCAACTCCAAGTTTAACAGAAATAAATCCATTGTTAAGCTCATCCATACTAGAAGGAATGATAACAGTTACAGGACTTGAGAAACCTATTTTTCTAAAAATGTCTTACAAGAAAAATATTTTATAAATTTCAAACAACAATAACATTAAATGTTCGATCAGTGAATGTCAAATGTTTCCCCGCATGAAAACGGCTATTTTCACCAATTTCCATTACATAGGCAGGTCTTAAATAACGAAATTTGCCTAAATGTAAATAGAATAAGCTTATTCAGATGAGCAACTTTGTACTGGCCATTTGCTGATCTTCACTGTTTATTTGTTTCAATATACAGGTAGTCTTAAAATAGTTAAACTTATCCAAAATATTTAAGTGTTGTAATGGAATGTCCCATACTCCCTATCACCTATGTGGACTGACTATATCAGTAGATACATATAGTGAGCACAGGATATACCTGGGGTTTGTGCTTCGGGAATTACTAGCCTGCCACCTGATTCCCTGTCTTTCAATGGTGTATTCTCTTTTACAGTAAACCTCTCTTTCTTTCATCTATGTGTATGTTGCTGTTCCTTCACTTAAGTACCACCTTTGTCTGTTTGTAACCTCTTTAAGGATACAACATTAGGGATGACAAAGTCAGTTGTCAGGGTTCAATGGGTCAAGGAAAAAAAAAAAAAACTTAATTTTTGTAGAATAAATAAGACTTTATTTACAAAATAAATATTTTTATTATTATAAAATCTTTCAAGAGAATTATCTATGAAAAAAAAAAATTAACAATAATTAATAAACATTCAAAACATGTTTATAAAAGAAATATTGACAGGAATAAAAGTCAAATTCATCAGCAAAGCAAAAATTTCCTTAATTTACACTAAAAGATGGTTTCTTGAAAATAAAAATAAAAATATTTTTTTTTTTAAATAGTTACAAGGTAATGTTTAATTAAATTAAGTACAGATATTTTTTATATCTGATGGTAACAAAATTTCTGGTTTATTTATTGGTTTTTCACTATATATAATAAAAACATAAGGAAAACTTATCTTAGCAGACATGTTTTGTCTACTGAAGGACTTTATCAAATCATTACATTTGCCTTGATAAAATCCCAAGTCCTTGAGTGAATGAAACATGTTAGCTAAGATTTCCTTTTGTCTTTATTCATACTGTCCTTTAACAGATATACTCTATCTGAAATTATATATATATATATATGGGAAAACTATATAAAAAATGTTCATATCTCAGAAGACTTTTAGGAAAATCTATGACAGAGTTGAAAAAAATTTTAGGACTTCATCGAACTAAGATGATATTTAGGTTAAAAAAAAAAAAAAAAAAAAAATTAATTTTTTTTTAATTTTGAGTTTAAATTTAAAATTTGAGCATCCCACCCTTCATGCAAATGAGTAATCAAATCAACATCACTTTAATACATCGAAGTCCTAAACAACAAAATGTATCACATGAAAAAAATGTTTTTTCATTATATATATATATATATATTTATATATATATATATATATATATATATATATATGTCTTGATATTAATGAAATGATTAAAAAGCAATTTATATTATTTAAGAAGAAAAAAACCGGCTGTAAATAAATTAAATCAGAGAAACATATTCAAAAGATAATCTCAGCTAAAAAAAAAAAAATGTAATGATAAAGTATGAATTTGAAAAACAAAAGAAAAATTAAAATTCCTTGTTTCTATTGGGACAAATATTTCCCAACTGTTTTTATAAAAAAAGCCTAAATATGGAAGTGTACAAATCAATATACAAAATAGGTCAATGTATTAGAAAGATTTTCATTTTATAAATAAATTCTTTACATGAAAAGAAAGAAAAATGTGTAAGATTTTAAATTTGCTAACAAATTTTAACATGTAACAGGCTATAAATCATATAAACTTGAATATTATTAAAGAATTTCTTTGACTTTTATCAAACTGCAATGATAGCGTTTATCAATTTCCTCATGTATTCAATGGAGAATCTAGAAAGATGTACACCTCAAGTCAACAATGTGCCAGTAATTTCATCTGACTACAAAATAACTTGAATCCATAACAAAGATTTCAAAATTAATAAAATACATTTAAGAGATTTGATGTGATATTGGAGGAAAAAAAAAAAAAAAAAAACTCTCTTGATCCAAATCACAAGGAAAAAAAAAAAATAAATAAAAATAAACAGTGTTTTAATGATCAAACATCTGAATACTGATCTTGGGAAGTGAGTTAGGCCAAAAATTCTTCGGCATGCACTCATAAAACAAAAATAAAAGCAAATATAGTACTTTTAAAAAATGGTTTAAATTTTTTTTTCTACTATATGCAAAAGATTTCAATATATAAAAGAATCTTTCAAAAATAGTTTCGCCTTTTGTACAACAAGCTTGAAAAAAAGAAAAAAAAAAAATAGCATCCCAAAACTCATTTTTAAAGCTTTTTTTTTTTTAAAAAAGATTAACTTCTGTAGAGAAAATTTATTTCAGAATAAATTTAAGCAAGAAATAGAAAATAAAAACAAATTGTCAAAAAAAAAAAAAAAAAATTCTTTTATATAAAAAAGAAATTAAGGTTTAATAATAAAATATATGCAACAGGAAATTAGATTTTCTTTTAAATATAAGCAACTCTCATAACATTGACTAAAATGGATTAAAAAAAATAACAAAAAACAAAACACATTTAAATATCTACTATCAGCTTAAAATATTTGTTCATAAAGCAATTTATTAGCTTATGTGAATAGTTTAAATTGTGAACAATTTTTTTTCAAGTTTAAAATTTCTAGAACATTCAAAAAATAAATAAAAAGCGGGGGTGGTATAGCCTGCCAGAGATTTGGATTTGTTCCAATAAAGATGAAAGTGAAAGTAATCCAATTAGGTTAGACATTAATTCCCAATGTTTTCAAATCAGTTAAAATCACAGGGAAATATTTCTTAATAATTAATTATAATCCTATAAGCAAGAGCAACATTATCACTGTGAATTTGATTCTGTTGGTCATCAAAGGAAGCATTATCAACTGCCTTCATTATTTGGTTGAACTAGACTATAATAAAAAGCAACTGAAATTAAGATGAAAGGAAATTCTAGTCAACCAACAACGAGGGATGATTTCATTCATTTGATTCTGTATTCGAGTTTTCTTATTAAAAAGGAAAAAAAAATATCAAGTTTCATTTTTGTGCAAACTAAACCAAAATGGTTTCATAAAAAAAAAAAAAAAAAAAAAAAGATTATTAACATTCCTATCCTAAATATATTTGGCAAGTCATTTTGTCAAAGTTCTATGTCTTTAAAGAGAGAAAAACAGTAAATGCAATTAAAAAAAGAGGCTTCTAATTGTATTGAAGCTATTTCTTTAATGTCAAAGCATTAAAGATTAAAAAAAAAAAAAAAATACTTGGAATGAGCTAAAAAAAAAAAAAAAAAAAAAAAAAAGGAAGAAAAAAATTTATCCCTTGCTTTTTTGTTTATTTTTCATTTCTTTTTACATGGCATCAAAGTGGAATTTGTGGGCTTCTTGAAGTTTTTCTCGTTTGTCTTCAGCCTAAAAAAGAAAAGAAATCAAGCTCACAATTATTTACCAACAATCAATAGATAAAGTACAAAGAATTCATTTACAATAAAGAAATTTCTGACAAAAGATGCTTAGAAAACAATCATGAATATGGCAAAGTATTACATGAATTTATAAGTTGCACATGAAAAAGAAAAATCTGAATAAATGAAATGGATTTTTGCAAAATGAACCACCCCACTCCCCGCACCTCTTTTGTGTTTATTACATTTTAACATGAACATTTTTAAAATCCAATTGAAGTTTTAACAAAAAATATGTGTAACCATATGGAGATGAATTTTAAGCTTTATTTTATTTCATTTTTTTTTTGTTTTTTTAAATGAAGTTAATTCTTCCAGCTGAAATCCCAAATCAGAAATATTTTTCTGTTATAACTTTGTTTTTGTCAACCATTAATATTAATTTTTGACTTTCACTTATTAGATGAGGGATTATCAATCATTATTTTTAATTAGTATCTACTTTCACTTTTTATTAGATGAAGCATTGTCAATCATTTTTTTTTTTTTTACTAGTATCTACTTTCACTTTCATTTTTTATTAAATAAAGCATTGCAACCATTAATATTAATTTTTGAGTTAGTATTTTAATCTTCATTTTTATTAAAAAATAGTTTGAAACTATGTTTATTGGAATAATATAAAGTAAGTTTTATTGTCTTGAACTTATCAATAAAATAATTTATTTCATTCATTTAACTATCAAATAAAAATCTGTAATGCCATATGAAATCTATAAAGTTTTATTCTATTTCTTCAAAAACAAGCTGACTGGATACATTTCTAAAATCTTTTTGTTCCTATTAGAAAATAAATTTGATCTTTGATCTTCTCTGTCACATTCTTGACATTTGCTAAATGAAAACGACTTTTTAAAAATAAAACAAGGAAAGGAAAAAAAAAAAAAATCTGAAAAGTTGCCCCCCTCTGCCAATAAAACCAAGCAAGAGAACTCACCCTTTCTCTCCAATGTAAGATACCAACCACAGCAGCAATGACGGCACATGTGCCAAGAAGGGAAGCCCCCGTTAATAACACAAGGCGACTGGGTGTTACAAACAGTCGATTCTTCCAGCTGAAATCCCAAATCAGAAACATTTCTCTGTTATAATAACAAAATATTATCTTTGCTTTTATTTTAGACAAAGGAAATGCGTTACATACAAAAGAATTAGTTATAATATGAGAAACAAACACTTTGCTAAGATAATTAAAATGGAGACTTCAAAAAGATTGGAAAATGCCAACCAGAATTGTCCAGTGTTACTCATCTTCCTGTTGTCCAATCACTTTAATTTGTGATAATTCTTAAAGTGCACCAATTGCTTGGTTGGTTTAAAAAATATAGTTTAACTCTTTCCAGATTTAATTCTATTTCTAAATTTTGCTATTTTTAAACTTAAAAGCTTGTAAGCTTTCTGCACAAGTTCACTTATGCTATGGAAAATGTTAGACAGATATCCAACAATGCATTGGAATAGCAAAAGAGGCCTATAAAGAGAGGACTCGAGGCCATGCAGATGTGGCTCTACAGAAGGATGCTGAGAATACCAAAGATAGAATATATAAGCAACAAAGAATTTTTAAAATGGAAACAACAGGGAAATTTTAGCTCAGGATCAGAAAGAGACAGTTGAAATTTTTGTGATACATGAGGAAAGGAGGTTTGGAGAATCTAATACTCACAGAACATATTGAAAATAAGAGGGACAGAGGTAAACAGCAAGTAATATACCTAAAGAGTTTTTGTAAACGGATGGCAGATTCAATAGCACAGACTCCTCTATGTCCAATCAGAATTACTACATTTGGCTGTAAACAAAATGCAAATGTTTGGTTGGACAAATCTGACTCATCTGTATGTTAATTACAAAATGCTATAAATTTTGCACCAAAGACTTTCACTGATATCATAAAGAGCTTGAGAAAAATACCGAACTCCTGTTGTCATGCTCTATCTTTACAAGAGAGAACCAGATCAAACCTAGAATGTCGTATTGCTGGCATATCTGGCCAGTCCTCACTGTCCAGCCTCGATGGGAGTTCAAAATTACCCAACCTTGTGGGACATGATGAATTATCCTCCACCCTGCCACCATTATCCCCACTGATGAAACATCTCTAGCCTCTCACTACTCCAATCACTATTACTATGGCAAATTTCCAAATGAGCTACCTTTTTTAGTCCCACCAGCTAAGTCCTTCACAGCTAGGACCAGCTATGCCGTATTCATGGTAGCAAATCATTCTCATTAAGTGCCATTGGTAAGGCGTAAGTTCCCTTCGGGCAGTTTCTTTCCCAGAACTGTCACTATGTGGAAAAGACTCCCGAGAGGATGCTTCCCTGATTACTACAATCTTGGCCTCTTCAAGTTAAAAGTCAACCAATGTTTGTCCTAGATATCCTCAATAATATGCACTTCACTTCCTCTCCGCCCCACTTACAGAAAATCTCACTCAGTAACCCCCCCTACACTTAGTGGCCCTTTAGCCTTGTATTTGATGAACTATAGTAAAAAGAAAAAAATAAATAAATAATAATTAAATTAAATTAATTAGTGGTATGCAATGTGATCCTAAACTGAAATCTCTTTTTAAAAAAGAAAAAAAAATAACCCTTTTTCTTAATTATTTATGAATGGCCAATGCGGCGTCTCTTCAGGACGGAGGCATTCAGGGCTATCCATAGATTTATGTTCTTCATTATCTGGGAATTATCTTGGGAAATCCAATTCTCATTGTCTTTTGCCTGGTTTTAAAATCAGAGTAGTCCCTCTACACTGGCTGCAACTCAAGGCTAAACACCTCAAGCTACACTGTTATTTAATCCATACCTGGAGGAAAGAAGAAATTAATTCATGCCATTCCAAAAAGGAATTAATGCAAAGTGAACACAGCAGACTAGGACGGTAATTCCATTTCCCACATCAAACACCATTATGCCACCTGCAGATACTAATTTCAAATAAGTACAAACACAGATTTTAAAAATAAAAATTATGGAATTATTGACTAACTGCCAAAGCATGCTATGAACAACTTTCAAGATTCAGTCAATTTGCTTTTAACTTTGTTGGTAATTTATTTCAGCAGATCTTTTTTTTTTTTTAGAGACTGATATAATAAGATATTTATTCATAAATTTAACACTAATTAAAAATTTTCAGATGTCCTGGAATCATTAATTAATGAAAATAAAAAAAAAGAAAATTTTTTAATTCCCAAATTTCCAATTAACACAATTTAAGTATCGAGATGTAAGAATTATAACAAAAACAATTACTTTTAGATAAATACACCAAGTCTAGAAGCAAAATTTCATAAAACGTATTTACTTTTCAGCAGCTATGATTGATAGTCTAAGGGAGTTAATTCTGCGAAATCCATCTTAGCATTGCCATCAAGACAATTTCAGAGATTTTCAAAATTCTGTAGTCAGACAAGAAAGAGCGAAATATTTATATTTTGAAATAAACTTAAAAAGATTTTAGTTTTCTTGAAAATAATTTTAAAAATTTTCACTTGTAATTTGTTTTCTTTCCTTGCAACATTGCTTGAGTTGCCACAGACTGGCATCCCAAAGTAAACAACATGGACTTGAAATAAAAGTTCCCTATGAGACTTGAAACTAAACAATTAGCAGATATCCTAACCTCACAAGTAGCTTTAAGAGCAGCTAATCTAGACTTCCCCATGACAATGAAGACACAAGTTCAAATATCACCAATGACTTGTACTTCATTATACTTAATTCACGTACTTTGCTTACTACCATAGATTGACTGCTCAAATTGCAATATAAAGCTATTGACAAGACTGAATATAACACATCTAATAATTTTAAAATGTTCTATTATTTACAATACAGCCATTATTTACAGTCAGGATAATGCCCTCATCTTTGTTACCGCAACGTTTCAGACGTCACCATTGGCGGTGTCTGTTGATCAGATTTGGTTTGGTTTATTTTGTTTTATGGTATATCAATCTCAATGGTTTACTTAATGCCAACAAGATTTTTCAGGATAGGTTCATATGAATAGAATATATATTTTTTGTAAGAAATCAGTTTATAGGAGATTTGGTTTGGTTTATTTTGTTTTACGGCATATCAACACCTCAATGGGTTATTTAATGCTGACAAGATTTTTGTTGCTGGTAATTTTTTTTTTTTTCCTCAAAAATGTATTGCTGGTAATAATTTTTTACAAATATATATTGCTGGTATTAAAACCTATTTTTTACACTTTCATAGTGTTTTGACCGCAGTTTGGGGGTTAACTATTTGCCCATAGCTGGGACCCTAACAGGTGCTACCAGCCCAGGTCAGGGTGAACCTGGGAACACCAGCAATTAAGAGGCAGTTCCATGCTCTTCAAAATCTTCTGATCAGAGGCCTTGCTGTTGGATGTAGTTTATAGTCTTACCCAGGACACGGATGTAGTTTATCATCTTACCCAGGACACGGATGTAGTTTATCATCTTACCCAGGACACCTGTTGATCAGAGTAACCTTCAAGGAATTTCGAACTTTATTTAATCTACAAATGTAGATGGGTTCTCATTCCACTGTTCATATCTATGGATATTTTTATTTTATTTTTTAGTATTGCTCAGTTACTCAGTCATTGTTTGTTTCCACAGAGTCTCAACTACCCCTTGAAGACTATGCCGCCAAATTTACAAACTAATTTTACTAGGATTTTACCTATTAACTGCTGTTGTTTCCAGGTTTATATTAAAATTACCAACAATACATTTCATGATCTACAAATACAAACTATATGCTGTATATACTTGCATATCATGTGACCTTTGAAGATCTAATTTTGAAGCTAATTTGACTACAATAAATGGATATATAGTTTGGTCAATGGCATAGCTAGGGCCAGCAGTATATATGCTAATTCTATATCTCATGTATGATATGACCCTCTTAAAATTAGCTTCAAAATTAGTTCTTCAGAAGTCACATGATACATGAGTAAATACCGTATGTAAAAAAACATAATTTTATGCTTTCAGGATAAAGGTATGTACAAAATACCTATAGTTGAAAACATGCAAGTATGTTCAAAATATTTAGATTTTGGCATTAAATAACCAATAGAGGTTGAACTGCTGCTAAACAAAATCAATCAAACCAATCAAAATATTTAGATTTTGGCATTAAATAACCCATAGAGGTGTTGATATGCTGCTAAAGAAAATCAATCAAACCAATCAAAATATTTAGATTTCAGCATTAAATAACTCATAGAGGTGTTGATATGTCGCTAAACAAAAGCAACCAACCACTAGGATTTAATGTCATGGGTAAATAATAACTCATCATCCTGGAAATTCAAACAGAAATTATACTGTTAGATTTAAATTAAATTTATGCAAAATAAATGTACCATTATATTAGACTGATGCATTACGCTGGTATTGACATCTATGATCAAGATATTTACACCCATCTTCAAATTTATGAAGATTCTTCAATTTCCATGATGAATTCTGTCTGGTGGAAAACCAAATGTAATGAAGGCATTTTATCATACCATAAACACAATCGTTCACAGCCTGAAAATATTTCGAGTCCACATTTCAAAAACAATATATAAATCTATTAAGGACTTTATTCAAAATAGTTGTTATAAACTCAGGTAATGACACAGAATACTAGTCTTTTTTTATGAACTGTTTAGTCCATACAAGGCACAAGAGCAACTCAAGGCAGATGGTTACTGAATGGAGTTGTTGTATAAACAGAGGAGGTGAATGTAGAATATGAGGATATGTAGGATAGACAACAGGGTAGTGTTTAACCTTGCAAAGGCCACAAAGATTCTTCTGAACTATATCAAGGCTGGAAAGTGAGGATTAGATAGCTTGAGCACTAATCGCTTTTTTTGCTTTGAACGAACTCTATGAACTTTATTTCAAGTGTCCTATTTGAATTATTAGTAAGGAATAAATTATAGTTTTGTACGACAGAACAAGAGAGCAAACCATACATAAATAATGGCAGAATGTGTTGTTACTTTTGTATTTTACAAGTTCATTGTACATGGATTTGTGTTCATCTTGTCTGGTTTTCTAAGTAAAGCAAATGAAAACCCCAACTCTGATGCAAAACTTCAACCTAACACTTCAATGCAAAACTCCGACAGTCCACACGAGAGCACTTCCTCCTGACTGAGAAAAAGCTGGTGTCATATAGCTCTCTCTCAGTCCCAGACCTACACTGATTATTGGCTAATACCTGCTCAGTATCATTGGTATGTAAATTTTGTCAGTACCACCTACTCTTAGTAGAAATGTACTCTTGCAACAGCCAATTGTGAAAGAAGACATAACTCCAGGTGCTTACTGTACCACATGCAACCAACCCTGTTTCACTTGTCACGTTGATCCAATTCTCCGTTACAGGATTTCCCTTCTCCAATGTACTGTCTGAATTCAGATTCAGACTATAATCAATCCATAGAACATTTAGAAATATGAACAAAAAAAAGCCGGATCATTCTTACCTATAAGGATCTAGACTCAAGTATGGAATAATGATAAGCTGTGAATTTGGAATAATGGACGTCCATTCACGGATTTTGCTATTCTACAAACAAAAAAGAAAAACTTTTTTTCAAAATGGTGCATACAATAAATTATAAAGTAAGAAAAAATTGTTTTTTAATTGAAAAATGCAATTTAAAATAATATCAAATAAACAAAAAAAAAAGAAAAGAAAAAAAATTTATTTCTTTGCCATATATAAACATTTTTTTAAAAAATCATTTCCACCCAAGCAAGGTAATAAAGCCACTAAGATACAAAGGTGTTACTGAGAGTGAATGAAACTGAAAAAAGCTTATCAACAGTTTTTCGGTTATGTAAAGCTGAAATATATTTTAAAAATTGTAAAAATAATTATTTTTTTACAAAGGGAATACTGCATTAACAATTTGTTGTAACCTAGGAAGGGTTACTGAATGAGGAATAACCAAAACGGATGTTGGAAATAAAATGGTAATCTTTATAACATCAATAAAATACAATACTCGTCAGCAGCGTGAAGTATGTAAACCATTGCTAGTGGTGGACTACTTAGAAAAGCACATTACCTCCACTTACAATAATGTCCAATGTATTTATGAGGATTGGTAAATACCCATTGGTGTTCAGAGGTATGGCATATAACATAATTTTTTGAGAACAATGATTTTTCCAGATCCAGTACTATTTAACCCATAGTTTGGGGAGATAGGTTCATACGTTTCCCAGGAGTATTTGTGCATAAGGGAATGTAACAAGCTCAACTGGAATTCAAACACAGAACTCTGATTTCTCATTTTATGCCGCTATCCATTACACCACCAGCACGTCCATAAATTGTGTAAGAAAGATGAAAAGACAGGAACCAATAAGTTATGATGACAGCATACAAAAAAAAAAAAAAAAAAAAAAAACTGTTGTAAAATGGTAAAAATCATTAAGGCCCCTATAAACAGGATTAAAAAAGCTTTAGAAACGAAAGTGATTCTCTGGTTATATCAAGTTTTGTTGGTTAGCATTATTATGATATGATTGTACTTTTAATTCATTCCGAACCTCATTTTAACAATTTTACTTTAATTAGGGAATAAATTGAGAGGAATATGAATTATGATTTCTCAAAAGGTTAAGAAAAAACATTATAAATATATAAGGTGGTGACATTTTTATATCACATTACCACAATGCAATGGAAAAAACCAATAAAAGCCAGCCTGGTGGTATCAGCAAGAACACTGAATTAATAGAAATGATATGTCAGGCAGTGAACACAGGTCATCATCTGATTAAAGCTTTGTTGGAAACACAGCTGTTGTTTTCAAAACAGCATGTCTATGAAATGATATCACTTGAAACAAGTAATGACAAAATTATGCAATAAAATAACACAAAAAGGACAAAATGTTTATTTTCCCTTGACAAAATTTCAAGAAAAATTCAATTTGTGACATTCATTTTGAAAAAAAAAAAAAAAGACGTATTTCGTGTTAGAATTAATGATGATTACAAAACTGACATTAGATCATCACTACAGACATGTTGTTTTTTTTAGGCAGAAATAGAATTAATGTCACACAAACCAAGGTGGATCCGACCTGACAGAGGATTTTGTCATAAAAATTTGAGGCTAGGTTTTACAAGGCACTTCTTGACACCCAACTCAGACAATCATGGCAGTCAAAGTACATGGAGCATTTTTATCAAGATACCATCTCTAGAAAGGTTGCCATTCTAGCTTCATATATATTTGTTGTAGAGTAGGAAAAAGTATATTTCTAGCTCTTCCCTACTACTGTGACAATGGACTGCTCCTACTTATAAATATGGCAAGTAACCACATTAGAGTAGGATTTTGAGTAGTATTTGATTTACTCAAGTTATTCCATTCTATGTATGAGTATTTAATAAACCTTTTCTTTGTTTACCCTACCTAGTCTTCTGCTCCAGTACTCTCTCTAACTACAGCCTTTCTAATTCTTGGCTATTTTGAAAAAAAAAAAACATTGCAACAATATTTAAATGAAGACACTAAATTTAAATGCCAACAAAAACACCAAACAGCCAAGTTAAAATTCATTTTTAAAATAAATTCACACATTCTAGGTTTAAATAGGAATTTCGGCATACTCAATGAATACAGTTTCCAAAAAAGACCTCCTATAAACCTGTCAACGACACAAACTGTGGCAAAGAACTAGCCCCAAACTACTCGATTTGATCAGTAGATAAAGCATTATAGAAAAAAAAAATTTCTTCTGAAAAGGTTTTTTTTTTTTTTATTAGTTCTTGTTAAGAAAGGACACAGGCATGTTTGAAAATTCCAATCTTTAACATTTTGCATCCATTTTTACAAATGGCCTACTAATATACAATAAATAGTCAATTAAGTGCCACACATGATACACGCTTGGGTGATCGCGTATCTTTTGATACATGACTGAAGAGGCAGAAGATTTTTTTCCCCCCACAGTAGGTTGCCATTTCTTTCTGCCACTAGATTGGTTGCTAACCAAGACTAAAGAACCCGGTCTGTCTTAATATTCAACCCATAGATGGGGAGAAGAGATGGATTCATACCTTTCCCAAGTGTACTTGTGCATAAGTGAATATAACGAATTCAACTGGAATTTGAACTCAGCTCTACGAATACTCATTCCAAGCCGATATCCATTACACCACAATGCACAATATATATTATTAGTCTTATTATCAATATTATTATTTTTGTTATTTTTTGCCTCTTCAATTTCTTTCATCGGCCTACTATATCTACATATTATAAGAAGCATATATGTACAAGCTTCTTCTGTTATCATATGTCATTAAGGCTCATTATACCATTAGCGCATCAATATCTATTAACATTATCAATAATATCACAGCTATTACCACTATCAGTATAATCAGAACCATCAACAATAAACAACCAGTTAGTGTTGAAAATACAAACATCATCATCATCATCATGACCACAAACAGAACACAGCTCAACCAAAGTGGTGGTGAAAAGGCCCAGACCAGTAATAGTGTATGTGCACGCCTACACACACACGTGTGCGTGTGTGTGAGAGGAAGTATAAGTTCTTCTCATGGACCATGCAGTTGATCTGAAAAGCGTCAAGAATACCCCTACCCACCTCTTGTTCAAACAAACATCGCCACACATAAAAAGCTAAGGTCCCGATACGGAAATAGAATTACAACTGCATATGTATGTATGCCCGAATGTACGGATATGTATTTGTGCCTAGCCTCAAATTGCTTAGATGGATGTGTTAGCATGAACTAAAATGCGTACACCTGTATGCATGTGTCTATGCGTATGATAGTGCCGCCCCAAACAAACACATAAATAGATTCCCCCTCCAACCACCAAGCATAGTCAAACAAGCATAGATTCAATTTTAAAAAATAAACCAGTGTGTTTGATGATCACAAAAGCATGAAACCCAGGGTCACAAACTCATATATATATATATATATATATATATATATATATATATATATATATAAGTATATAATTGGTATATACGGAATGAATTCCAATAACCAACAATTGCTATTCTTAAAAGAGTGCTCAATACAAAGTAGAGCAGATATAATTATTATTTATAAAAAATTATAACATAAGTATGTTATAAAATCACTACAAAAATAGCCATTTTGTTACATTGTCAGTTTTTAATTTTAATATTAAATTTTATCATATAATTTTATAATTATTGGTTAGTATAAATTATTTTTAATATTACACGTATTTTAAAGATCTGAATAGCTATTATAGCAGGATTTCGTTGTCAAGCTTTTGAATCTTTCTATACTTGGTTTTTGATTGGTTATTCTAGCTTTTGTAACAATGTTTCCCCCTAGTGTAGGATCGTTAATTAATCTGAAACTTAAAACCATTTATTTTATTTTCAACATCATCACTTGATAAGACACAGAGTGTTTTGAAACAAAATGGCTATTTTTGTAGTGATTTTATAACATACTTATAATTTTTTTTAAATAATAATATATATATATATATATATATATATATATATATATATATATATATTAATGCAGCCTATAATTTAATGTATATTAAGGTAAACAGAATTTCTATCAATGAAGGGCTCAGTATTTGACTACAGCAATAATTATTGAATCAGAAATAAAACCGAGTTGTTATCAATAAATATCAAATTTTTGTGATGTATGGTGGCCGTTAATAATTAAGTATAACTCAAGACTTCAATGTTAAAACAGTATTTAATTACAACCACAAATAAATACTTTAGAACAAAGAAGTAAAAGTCAACCAAAGATACTTAACATTTTCAGTGAATACCTTGTTAGTAGCGAAGCAAAGCTTAACATCCAGTAAATCCTAAATCAAAAACCCAGATCATCAACACACAATAATTCACAATAGTCACTGCAGTCAGTAGCCTGACATCATTTATGGCGGAAAACATATATTCATAAGTCCATTAGTGTTGGTAGCTCAAATTACAGACATATATAGTTTCCCATTTATATATATATATATACAGACATATATATATATATATATATATATATATATATGTGTGTGTGTGTGTGTGTATAATAAAAAGAACAAATAAGAAATGTTTATCAATCTAAAATGTTTCACTTTTATTAAAGCTTCATCATAAAACATTTTAAATTAATAATCACTGCTATTTATACACCTAACAGAAAACATATTTTCAGGATTTCACAGTGTCATGCTCAAACCTTAGTGTTGGTAATTATTCATTTTCTTCTTATATGACAATATTACACACACACACACAAACACACACAAAAAGAATGAAATGGCTTTATTTTTATGCTTACTTGCAAACTATAGAAAAGTTAAGATAAGAATTAGAATCAGACAAAATACAAAAGATAAGAATTATTAAATTTTAATAAATTTCAACATCAGATTCAAATTAAATTCTTGCCACGATGTAGTTTTCTATATCTCTGAGATGAAGTATTATGATTTATTAGCATTATTTACATTATTCAGATTGTTGTCCTAATCTTCATTGCCATATTCACAACATTTGTACACTCCAGCCTTCCTCATGGCCCAGTGGATAAAGACGGTTCAATCCAGTGACTAGACCCAAAGAGTTGGGCGTTCAATACCAGGCTACAGCAGTGGTGAACCAAAAAAACGTGGAGAGTTGAGTTAAAGGGAAATAACTGAGACATACATAAGAGGCATGGCACACAGAACTAGAACAATCTACACCAGTGGCCAAAATAAAGAGTTTGGTTCAAAATTCCAATCACTTGATGAAGGCCAGAGCATACAACAGCCGAAATATTATGAATATGGCAATGAAAATGAGGATAATGGAAATAATGAAGTTTTCTTGTTATGTATTATTTTAACAAGTTAGGCTCTAAATAATATTTCACATGTTTTATGAACATCGTCTGAAATTATTATCAATTATATTCAAATAAATCTGAATAAATCATTAGCTCAAAAATATTCTGACATTTGAAATCAGTTAATTGGTTGAAATAACAAAATAATAGTTCTATTCCAATAATGTTTTCTCACACTTCTTGCATGCGGAACTCTTCTCTAGATTCTTGCTTTCCTGTCAACTACGATCTTCAAAAATTTAAATGAAATGTTAATCGTCATCTTCTGACTTTTTGAATCCTGTTCTTTTATTTTCCTCTCTCCTCACTAAATTCTTATTTTCTTTCTTTATCAGTAACTCCTTGTGTCTTAGTGGCATTATCACCTTGCTTGGAGCAAAATTATCAAACAAATAAATAAGATGAAAGAAAAAACGAAACAAAAAAAAGCATGATACTGACTTCTTTTGTTGAATATGGAATTCCAACTTCTAGTGTATCGATATAATTTGGTGTTTGTCCGAGGCCAAAGACGGTAAATGGTAATTGCAGTGAATAATGTGCAGACTGAGTGAGTTGACTTGCTGCAAGAGAGGAAAAAAAGAGTTGACTTAACAAATATAAGAAGGACACGTTATGATGAATAAAATACAAAAGATAGATTCAATATTGCGTCAAAATCATTTAATAAAGGAGCAACAACTTCTTTGAAGTTCTTTTAGTCTATAAGCATATAACACCTTTGTAAGTTCTTTCACAGCAAAATCTAAAAAAAATCTATCAAGGCCAGCACCAATTCTGTATACCATATTTCCTATCACATTTACCAGTAATTTTGCAAGGAATATTTAGGAAAAAACCTATAAGCTTGACAGTTTTCATGAACACTACAGCCCTCCCTTCAGCAGGGTTTTGGTCCAAGATTCTAGGCCACTGCATATCCTCATTCAGACCCTTTTTTTTTTTTTTACAATGACGTTAACCCTGTCCAAGAGCCACTTAAGGTAGAGAGTTATAAATTAAGAGGCACCACCCCAAGCATAATGTCATGAATACATAAGGGGCCACCAGAAGTGAAAGAGAAGGAAAAGGCTTTAGAAGGAACCGTAAGCCCAATCCTAAACAGGAAACAAAGGATAAACCTCTATTCCTGTTCCAAAGACCAGGAAGGAGTTTGAACCGGATGATAGCCGAGCCTATCTACATCTTATGAGAGACTCACATACAGAACAAAATATACTTCTTTTTCGATGTGCTATGTCCCTTCAGGATATTGGCGATCATGGCTCTCCTCAATTTCCTGCCATTTTTATATCTCTTCTAAACCATGTTCTGCTATCCATTTACACCAGTTTATTAGGTAGGTTATGTACAGTTTTCCTGTCTCTCTTGCCTTCAATATGTCTTGTGAGTGTCAAATTCTCTAAGCCTTCTTTTCTCATTATATGCCATCGAAATTTCAACTCTTTTTGAGTTTAAGTATAAGTGTCTTTTTTGTTTCCATTTTCTCTAAAACTTTGTTGTTGCTCACAAAATATACACTAATCTTATAAATACAGGTATATATCCCAGGCTCTAATGTTGTAACATGCACTTAATTTTAGTATGGTCTGCTTCTAATTTACTATTATTAACTGATTATTTTGATAAATACAGTAAGCAACATGCCTATTCAATATTTACAACTCAACAACAAAGTCATCGTGACTGAGTGTTTGAGTGTACTGGCTTTGTTCAAAACTATTGGCCATGTCAAATTATGTGGTCTTTCTCAGAAAATATCAAGTCGACTCAGTACAGTTGCAGCATAATCTATAGTTCCGTATTGTGGGTGTTGAACAAATACAAATGTGACTGAGCAGGCGTCTGCAATATATTTTATATTTTACAATGAAACTCTTTTCAAATCCAGGTAACTGCCAGCAAACATCAATGATGACCAACTTCATTTTTAGTTTACATAACTGTCAAAGTTCAATTTGTAGTATATCTGGTGCATGTAAGCATTCTTTTAGTTCCCAATATTTAATCAAAACCCACAGTGGTGGTATGTGACACAAGGTCAGATTAACATGGGAAGCCCAAAACGCACACACCCAAGCTAGATCTAAAAATTGCCCAGTCCCACCATCTGTTAGTCACACTGCCACCAATATTGCTATTGCACCCCCTTAGTGCAATGAGGGAGGTATTGCCACCAGCATCTTTCATTAATAAATACAGTTATACTCAGTTCATAGACAGAGATGCAACTGAGAGGTGTCAAGAGAACCCTCAGAACCTCGGAAGGTTCTCAAAAGCCTTTTAGTTCACTGTAGACAATATAATTTGTTTATGTATTTCACTGTTACTTCAATCGCATATCTCATACCTACAGCATCAAGATACTATTATGAATCTGATAAGAACACAAGATTAAATGTTTCATATGTAAAATAATTTAAAAAAAAAAAAAAAAAAAAATTATTGAATGTCAAATTAATATCAGCCATGGAGAGTATGCGGTTTTGGGGACTTTCTTTGAACGTTCAATCTTCTCATGAAGTACATGAAGGACTCTCCTCTCCCCTTCGGGGAACAGGTTTTTATATAACTTCCTGTTATCCATCTATCTTGTGTGCATACATCCTAAATTCAGCTGTGTTCAAATCCTGCTTATGTCGGTGTTACCCAATTCTGCACTTGGTGCCTATTAGGTCACCTAGGTCAACTCCCATGGCATCTAACTCTTGACATTCTGAGGTGACACCAAGTAGAATGCTTACTTTATTATCTCTTAGGGTAAACCCAGTAAATATTGAGATAACTACAGATCAACTCCTCTTAGGTTCTTGAGGGACATTCAGACCGTATTTCATGGCATCAATCACATGCTACACAATCTTGCAGATTTTACAAAGGTGTTTTGGCCTAATAACCAACTAACAATTCATCTATACTTATATATTGATGTTTTCTATTTAAACATTATTTCAATTATTTACTATATGCATCATATCTGTTCTTTTGTTGTTCCTTTCCTTCTCCTTAATAATGCTTTTCTTTTTCGCATATTCTTTCATGCTCAGTAACCCTTTGCATCTTAGCGGCTTCTATTGCCTCAGTGAAATTTTTTTTTTTTTTAAATTTAATTCTGGCTAATCAGGGGATGAGTGTGTCAAACAAGAATGTAAGCTCTAACCCAAATTTTTTTTGTTTTAAGAAGTTTGATTTATATGGTTGGAAATATTGTATTTAAAGTAACAATTTCCAATTTACAAGTTCCAGTAAAATCAAACGTAGCATCAAACAATTCTTGCTGTGATCGGGGAGGGGCTAAGTTCCTATATGCTATCAAATCAGACAAATATAAAATTGATAAAATTTTAAACACTTAAATGATATTTAAAATTTGTATTAAGTTTCATTTTGTAACTCCATTTGAAATGTTTGTTTTAATTTTAGCACTACACACAATTCAGATATATGGATTAGGTATTCCTTTGTTTAATTTATTCCATTTAATAAAATAAATCAAATAATAAACATCTTACCATAGCCAAGCTGGATTTCTCCAGTAGACTGTGTGGTTTTAAAGCGTATCACAGGACCAGGTTGGTTTACACCATATGGCTTGAGAGAGGTGGACAAAAGAAAAGTATAGGTTTAGTAAAATAAGAAGAAAAAAAAGAAAAAACGAGGGAGAGAATTTTCTGCTTAAGTCAAATTGTCACTTAAATTGTTTTATTTCTTTATATTGGTTTTGACTGGGCTTTTTTTTTTTTTTTTTTTTTTACAGCCTATCACCCCTTTACAAATTATTTAAAGCCAGAAAATATTTTTAGATTTTTTTGTAACCTAATTAAGGTTACAGAATGAGGAATAACTAAAACGGAGGTTGGAAATGAAATGGTAATCTTTATAATAAAATACAATACTCACCAGCAGTATGAAATAGGTAAACCACTGCTCGTGATGGACTATTGAGACAGCATATTACCCGCACTTACAATAGTGTCCAACACATTTATGAGGATTGGGACATACACATTAGTGTTCATAGGTATGGTATATAACAAGATTGTAAGAATTTATTTTGATAATAATGGTTTAGTGATACAAGTCTTACTAATTAACCCATAAGAGGTGGATTCATAACTTTTCCAAGAGCATTTGTGAATAAGTGAATAAAACAAATATAACTGGAACTTGGCTCTCCAATATTCAATTCCAAGTAGTTATCCATTACACCACCTGCATATCCAAATTTACAGCATCTGCTACTCCTAAGCAGTTACCCATCTAGGTACTGACCATGCTTAACATTGCTTAACTTTGGTGATCAAACAAGAACCAGCATTTCAATATGATATGTCTGTAAACCTTCTAAATTTTTCTATTCATAAGCAACCCACCTTCTTAATTTCATTTTTTTTATCTTCCCTCTCACCTGTTCAAACAAGAAATATCCTTAACACTTGAAAGGTTAGAAAATAAGATTGTTATTTTCATTCAGTTTTTCTCCTTCCTAATTATCATATTTTGATTGATTGTTTTTTTTTTTGTTTTTTTTTTTTTACAGTTTATCAACCCCGATTTCGGATTGTTGGACGTTGCTTACAGTACCTGGTGTTCTGAAGCAGTCCACCATCTAAATACCAACTGGGCCCCCAATTACCATAATTCAATATTTGGGATAAACTAAAAATAAAACTTTACTTACCATGTGTAAATTTGAGAAAATTTATAGTTTGTCAAAAAATAATGTCAGTTTTAATTTAAAAGCATTCACCAGAATATTTATTTTTTTTATTTAACCCTGTGTTAGTCACATGGTTAGTTTTGTTAGTTCCCAAATTTTTAAAGTACTTGTAATTCCTTGTTGGCAACTGGTTTCTTTTGCTCCCTCTTGCTTCTCTCTTGACTCAGTGAGGGTGTATAGTACGCAATGGAACGCAGTTGTAGCTCATTTGTAATGAGAGGCAGAGGCCTGAAGATTATCCATTTTTGGAAATTCTGAGGTGATTAACACAGAGTTAACTAACCAAAGCACATTTTAAAAATTTGTAGTTTGTTTCTCTTTTCCTACAAATAATTCTTTTTCTTGATTGATCAAGATTATTGATCACGTTTTTTGGTTGGGTGGGGTGGAGGGTGTTTGTCATTATCGCAATGTTTTGATCAGTTCATTTTTTTGATCTTTTTCAAGTGTGCAATCTGTGAAAAAAGCGGGGAGATCATTTAGGGAGGGGGAACAAGGAGGATAAACTAAACTGTTTTTTTTTTTGTATGGTTATCATTTTAATGATTTGCACCACAGGGTGCAAAAAAACACAAAAAAAGACAAACCTCTTTCCACAGAAAGCTGTAGAATAGATGAGCCAATAAAAAGAATGAGATTATTACAACTGTTGGAATAAAACCCTAACAGATACAGGCTTCATTATTACTGTACAGAAATATTAGATTATTTTTTTTTTATTATCAACAATGTAAATAAGATTTAACTGTCATGCTTAAAAGAACTTTTATCTATAATACAAATAATAATTTTCTCTGTATTTTTGTAAAACATTCCAACCACAAAGCTTGAATATCCCCAACTAAAAATGTGTTTCATTTTGCTTGTTCTTATTTTTAGATAATTAATTTGTCATGTTCCTGCATGTATAAAGTTGTTGAGATGTTGAGTGGTTCCCCGTGCGTGTATTGAAATAAGGACAAACACATACGTAGGGAAAAATACTGGTATATCTGAAGAGGTATTTACAAGAGAGATTAGTAGTCAAACGAACACAGGTTAGTCAGTAACAATCAGAAAGAGTATAAAGTCCAACTGTATCTTCCGGTAGAGAGACAGAAGTGTGATGGTCACCTGATCTCCCAGAACTCTATAGAACTGTCCTATTGGTAGTAGAGAGATCAGTCCATTCTGATGAGAAGGTGGGTGGCCCCAACAAAAGTTAAATATAAAAATGTCAAAATGTTTTTCACAGAAATGTATAAATTTTATTGAAAGATTTAATTAAAATAATCCATACACAAAAAGGGACTTTTGGACACTTTGATGATGCACAATGGTTAGCAAGTTTGTCTCACTAGATCAATTACAATTGAGTGAGTCCGATCCTTACTGGGTGCCCCATACTTTTGGCCTTGTGCCACATCTAAGCCACACTTAGAAAATCACCATACAAGGGGAGATTGAAAAGTCATCAGTCCAGCTTGCTTCACAAAATGCATGATATCTAACCATTAAAATACCAATTTGAGAAAGAAGTGTTTCATGTCAAAAACTCTCTCAACCTAGCAACAATGAACCGAGTGACTTTCTATGGTTTTGTATTTCTCTGTCTATAATGGTCAAGCTAAGCAAACAGAGAAACAAGTGAATTCTGCTCCAATTCAAATGTATAACCTACAAGTACTTAGGCAAGTGATGTAGCTAGTATATCGACATTCTGCAGTATGTTGTTAAAATTAATTTAACATTAAAGTGAATTGTTACATTTACTATTTGGTAACTCCTTCTTTTGAAGTCACATCATCAACCAGTTTTTCTATAATTTCTTAGAAATTTCTGGCAGTAATGAGCATCAATTTTTAACTATTCTTCATGGTAAAACTTCCACAATTCACTTTTGCACATTTTAATTTTTAATTAATATCTTTATTCCAGATTGATAAAAAGTTTTGAAAGCGGTTGTAATTCATTTAATAAAGATTTTTTTTAATGAATATTTGTTAATTATCCTTCCGGGGGCGGGGGGAGAGAAATTTTTTTTAATATTATCTTAGGAGTTCACTTTTGCACAGCACTGTGTGTGTGTGTGTGTGTAGAATACTCAGAAATAAAAACCAAGATGTGAAAAAAAAAAAAAATTTTGATTTCATTTTACCACTTATGGAAACAAATGATTGATAAAATTAACATTTAAAAAGTTAGATTTATTTTTATTTTTTATATACTTACCTCAACATTACAGTTTGTTTCACATAAACCACTCACAACTGAAATATAAGACAAAAACAAACATTTTCAATACAAATTAGTTTTGTTTAATGCTAAAGCTTGTGCTTTACAAAAAAGACAAATTCAGGTTTTGGTCAAGTTAGAAATTTTCTATGGAAATGCTTTTGCAGGTTTTACAATTTACCCATTCTAAAGATAAATATTTCATTTTCTGTCTTGCTGCCAGATGCAGTTTATTGTCATACCCAGGACTATTAAAATTAAGTCTCCTGAAGAGTGGATGCAATTCTGCAAAACTCAGACGACCATAAGGGAACAGACTTAATTTACATTACTTATTATCATCATGTGTGTGTGTGTGTGTGTGTGTGTGTGTGTGTGTGTGTGTGTGTGTTAATAGGGTGTAGAATAGTATCTGAGCACAAGTAGAGAAATAAAAGTAGAAACGCCTTTTGAATGACGTGTTAGGTTGGTGCCTACAGGTCAGAATGAAAGGTAAAACTGTGTGTCTTTTGCATTAAAGACATTAAGGTCCATTTCCTAGGATGCCATTGTTTAGTTGGAATGAAAAATCAAAGCTGTGTGATTTTTTTTATTAAAGTCATTAATGTCACTGCAAGTGGATCTGTTATTCTCACTATCAGCTTGTTTTGCAATGATCAGCAAATTTGTATAGGAGCCTAGTCCTAGGTTTATCATCAAGAATTGTGAGATCAGCACACTCTCAATACATTTTCTTCTTAGTGAATCCTTTCTGTCCCAATTAGCCTGGAATTTATAAAGTCAAAATTGTGGCCAGATTTGTTACAGTGAACTACGATACCAGTGCATTTAAAGTAGAGTAATGGATTGCAGCTTGGGTTGAGGAATTGGAGAGTTGAGTCCAAATTCTAGTTGAGTTTGTTACATTCACTTACATGCTAATACCCTTGGGAAAGGTATGAATCCTTTTCTTCTTCCCACAGCTGTGGGTAAATAGCAAGACAGACTGGGTTCTATAGCTTTGGGAGACAACTAGTCTAGGAGAAGGAAAACTCTAAAATCAAAACTGTGTAGCCCTAGTGAAGCACATACTATGCAGCTAAGGAAAAAGCAGTTTACATTGACTCGATGATACTGACTACTGTCATTTCTTTTTTTTATGCAGGATATATATATATATATATATATATATATATATATATATATAAAGAGACGAGGAAAAACTATTCTTCTCAGAGAGAGAAAACACTTCAGCTAAGAATAATTTTTTTCTCATCTCTTTTTATTCATTTTCTTCTTTTACAAATACACCCTATCTAAAAATATTATATTCTATATGTGCAGTACTTTGTGGAAAGAGCTCACTATCAGTGATAGAGCTAATATATTCAGTTTGTCTGATGATCACAAAAGCATGAAACCCAGGGTCATAAACTAATATCCATACAACTGAATATATATATATATATATATATATATATATATATATATATATCTTTGTCAAATTGAACTGAATTGTATTTTTAATGAATATTGTCTTGAAAAAGGTTTATTAAACCGAAACGTCAGACATCGACATTTCATTCATTTTAAACAACATAATTGCATTTAAGGATTTTTGTTTGTTTTTTCAAAATTTTCTTCATTCTGTCGGATCTATATCCATTTACATTTATATTATATATATATATATATATATATATATATATATATATGAGGTTGTTTGAAGATTAATGAAAGTTCCTGAAGATTTTTTTTTTTCCTTTGATTTGAACCATCTTTCTGGTTTCCAAGGTGAGTTCAAACATAAACTGTCCAATATTCTCCAAGTGCTTTTGTATTTAATAAGCTATTACCAAATAATTTTTTGTGGGTTAATAGTATCTCACATATGACTTCCTATATGTAATTAGTACATGACTAGCATTATTTAATTGTTACTTTAATTACTTTACACTGGATAACATCAAAGTTAATCCCAGGAAATAATGAAAAAAAAAAAATGACACCTACCCATGACCTTCAAGAAGTAAGCATCTTCAAGAAATTTATTTTTGAATACGTGAATTCTTGTTCTGTCATCTTTTGAGTGTGAAGTGAGAAGAACATCAAGTATTCCCTAAAAAGATATTTTGTTACAGTTCCACATCAAATTATCTCCAGTGTTCAGATCTTTTGAATAGAAACATTTATAATATCAAACATTAAGACGACTCATTCAAACAACTATTTTAATAGGGAATTATAAAGCAACTTTAGAACATCCACTTTCAATTGCATTATTCACATTATTCGGACTGTTATCCTCATCTTCATTGCTGTATTCATGTTTTGGCCGATGTACACTCCAGCCTTCTTCAGGTGATTGGAATTTCGAACCAAACCCTTTATTTCGTCCACTGGGATAGATTGTTCTAGTTCTGCATGCGATGCCTCTTCCAGATGTCTAAGTTATTTCCCTTTAACTCAACTCGCCAAGTGCTTTGGTATTGAACTCACAACTCTTTGGATCTAGTCAGTGGATCTAACAAATGTCTTTATCCACTGGGCCATGTGAAATTTCAATCTTAAACACGTGACAATTCCCTCCCAATAATATTTATGGTAATAAGAAATAAAGTAAAAATCCATTAATAAAAAAATACCCATACATGTATATTTTCAGAAAAAAATTTTTTCCAAGAGGAAGAATCCAGGTAGAACTCAATGTCTAGGACAGAGTAAGGATATAATAAAAAGGCTTAAACACTAATATTCCATGGTCATAATTTATTCCATTGGAATATATATAAAAATATATATATATATATATATATAATATATATATATATATATATATATATATATATATATATATATATATATATCCAGGGTGATTGAAAAGTAAATCCCTATTTTATGTGATGGACACTATTGTCTGAAGAAATAAAAATTTGTCTGATGAATAATGAATTTTTACAAGAATTTTTTCAAATTTAATCCTTTAGCTTTCAATTAAAGCTAAAATTAAATCTTCAAGAATGCTTTTTCATTTTTAAAAATTAATTTTAAACCTTAGGTATGGAAAATTTATGCAGAAAAAGTGGAGGTACCTAGTATAGATGAATGGGCCTGTTCAGCTATTTCAATTTTGATTTTTTTCAAACCTGCTCATGTTATTCCGGAACTTTAGCTTATTTTTTAATTTTTTTTATTTATTGTTTTGCAAACTGTATGTTTATTCAAATCACGTCTGCTCCTTTTTTTTTTTTTGTTTTGAAAAGAAAATAACTTTGAATAAATTTCCCAATCTGACCATTTTTGTGGTCTACAATTTAATTATGGACTTAAGACTAGGTCATTTGCTGTACGAGTTATAATGTTTTCATCTAGGCGAAAAGGGAATTTCAATCAAACAAAAAAAATAAGTAATAAATACGAAGACTATTTTTAATTTATAAAAATAAAAATCATATGCTCATAAATGAAACGCTGGTTTAAAAGAAAGGAAAAATAGTTTGGCAAAAGAGTAACACAAAATTTTTTAAAAAAGTAAGGGAAATAACTCCATTTTTACACCAACCCGTTTGTCTCCCCTTCATACAATTCATCCGGTGATCATTTTAAGAGATGGTGGAGGAAAATATTGTAATTATACAAGCTTCTTCAAAACAACCACTCGCAAAGATAAACAGCTAAAAATTGGACCAACTCTACTGTTAAAAATATAACACGATAAACATGATTTTTATGCCTATAATGGAGATCATCACAAACAAAGCAAGATTTTTAATATACAGCTCAAAGAGAGTCAGTAGTTTTGACAAGTTTTTATTTTTGTTTCAAGGAAATAAAAACTAATGAAATTTGATAGAACGTAATAAATTCCCAGACATATTTGCCTCAAATATTATTCATAAAAGAAAATGTGAAATTTATCAAGATATTTAGAGCTTAATTCCATCAGGCAAGAAATGTTTTCCTATGTACAGGGTGCAGCAGAAATACCGCCCACATAATGGTAAGACATTAGCAAGATGAAGACACCATTGGCACTAATGTGTTACCATTTATGTGGTATAAATAGAGTAATACGATGAGATATTGAATTTCATGTTAGAGAAATGGCTTATTTTAAACAACTGACACAAATCTTTATTATAATAAATTATAGAAAATTATTAGCTATACTAGAAATTTTAAAGGAAATAACTATAGTTTAATAGATTTTTTTTCAATATCAAAACATAAAAGACATTCATTTTTCAATAAATTTTACATCAAAATTTTTATTTTGATGTAAAATTTACTGAAAAATGAATGAAATCACTTTTAATAAACAAAACATGGCCGAGTGGTTAAAAACATTTGGTCAAATCCAGTTACTTGACCCAAAGAGTTTTGAGTTCATTACCTGACTACAGCTGAGGTGAACAAAAACTTGGAGAATTGAGTTAAAGGGAGATAACTCATACTGAGACATCTCAAAGTGGCATGGCACGTGAAACTAGAACAATCCACCCCAGTGTATGAAACAAACGGTTCAGTTCGAAATTACAATCATCTGAAGAAGGCCAGAGAATACAATGGCCAAAACGTTGTGAATACAACAATGAAGATGAGGATAACAGTCCGAACAATGTAAATAGTGTAAATAAACAAAATTAACTTACATTTTCGTCCAAATCAAAAAAACGCAGTTAAAAGTGCAGAATCAGTAACAAAAAAATTTATAAAAAAAAAAAAACAATTTATATTTAGTTGAACATGAATACAATTACAATTTCTTTTCTTAAATATTGATTGATTTCATCATTGCCAGTCCAATGACTGTGTAGGGCACGATTATAGGGTTGCTGCACACCGGACCAGTTCCCACCACAGATCTTGGGCAAATAGACGGGATGGAGCCCATCACTCTCTAGGTCAAACTGCAGACAACCACTTCCAACTTGAAGGCTTGCCTTGCTCACAAACATGTAACTGTTTGATTGTTTTGTTTTCTCAATATCAAAACATAAAAACATTCATTTTTCAATAAATTATACATTTAAAAAAAAAAAAAAAAAAATCACTTTTTAATAAAAACCTTTAACTTACATTTTCATCCACATCAAAAAATGCAGTCAAAAGTGCAGAATCAGTCAAATGTGTAAATGTTGCTGGCCAGATAATCTCAAAGGACCGAGTATAATTATCAGAATTGAATGGAATATTTTTTAACAGGAATGCTTGTTGAGTGTGGTTCCTAAAAGAAAAATTGGAAAATAGAATTTATTTTAAGATTATGTGTAACAAACCAGAGAATATAATCAGAGGATGATACACAAGGCTGGTCCAATAATAGTTTATAACAAAATAATACAAAGAAACAGGAGATTAAGGCATCACTGATATTATAGATAATGTTTAATAATGGTTAGATATGACTGTAAATTCTATGTTACAGTTTCTTTTCTTACACTTCCTACTTAAGGAATTCTCTTCCGGATTCTTGTTTTCCAGTTAACATTGATTTTCAAAAATTTAAATGCAATGCCAATCGTTATCTTCTGTCTTATTAATCCTTATTCTTTTATTGTCCTCTCTCCTTAATAATGGTTTTTTTTTTCATATTCTCTAACACTCAGTAAACTCTTGCATCTTAATAGTTTTATTGCCTTGCTCGGGGGGGTGAAATGATTAAAAAAAAAAGTTTCACTTAACAGGTTTTGTCCTCTAGAAAAACATCATCAGTAAAGTAACATATTTTGTTGATGGGATTATACATGCACAGGAAGAGAAGCATGAAATATTAAAAAAAAATGTAAGCATTGGTTACACTTATGCACCGACAGGAGACACTGAAGATGTTAGAACACTGAAATTTTTAAATTAGATCCCCCCACCCCAACTTTGACATATGTGGAAATTGTGTCCAGCTGATCTCATTCATTGCAACCATTGATATATCTGATAGCATTTTTGAAGGTGAATTATTTTGTCTATTTATAAATGACAAAATCATAACTTTATTTGTCAACAAGACAAATAAATACAAGTCAGGTGAAAGAAATTCTAGTGTCTTCTCGTGTGTAAACACAA